AGATGAAACGCAAGAAAGAAGCCAGCACCTGAAGAAGGGCAGTCATAAACATATGAAATGCTTGCGTATTCTGGTCGATCAACATTGCAACTCGTCCAAAGAAAGTTACCACACCTTGCATCTGCAATGATCATTACAACATAGAAGCCGATAGACACTTGCAGAACCCAATGAAATAAGACCCGCCTAAGCTGTTAAAATAAAATCATCAACTACTCATCTCTCCATTCTTATTCCTCATTTTATAAATTGTAAAATCCTAAATTTGATCAACCCAATCTGATAATGTGAATCATCGTTGTAACATAATTCTATTATCCTTAGGGCTTGCTTGTTTACAAATTAATCCGCTCAAAATGAGTTTTTTTGGTTAACCAGTGTTAATTTTGAAAAGCTGGTATAGTTAGTTGTCAGTGAGTTTATATTAAAATAATATTTAAATAAAATAATAAAATTAATTTGATGTAAAAAGTAAGAGAGAGATGACGTGAAGGGACGGTTAGTTAAAATTATGTGAGTGAATGGATAGTGAATTAAAGTTAACATGATGTGTAAAAATGACTGGTTTGTATTATTTAATTATATGAATAATATTAAGGACAGTGGGGTCAACTAAAATTTAGTTAGATTTGGAATATAGATTAAATGTACATGAGATATTTTGTAAACAAACACCCCCTTAATCTCACACACCAACTCTATTATCCTTATCTTTGTTCGCACAACAAAGATAAAACAAGTATATTTGGGCTTACCACTCGCATTAACGAAATCCAAAAGCTAGGTGGAGAAGAAGGAGGCCCAAAGGGATTATTTGGATCTTGGTCACCAAAAGGCCCACCTATGCCCATCCCATAGCCTCCCATTGGGCCTCCATAACCACCACCACCGTACATTCCCCCACCATACATTCCGCCACCTCCATAAAGTCCACTATAACCTCCTCTGTACATATTATTTCCATACAATCCGCCATTACCATACGACCCTCCAAGTCCCCCATAGGACCCATACATCCCGTTTCCATATCCAGAATTATAATTTAAACCCGATCCATAACCTGTGTGAAAAAACAAAACAAAGGGTCATTATACATTAGATACTGAATTATACAGAGAAATGTATGGTTATACAAATATCACTAATTCATAATCCATTGTATGGTATTGGCCCAAGATGCTTTACCAACAAATTGTGCCTACTGTAAACGTTTGGTGCACATACTTCATAAGCCCTTCAAAAAACACTTCATTTATCTTATATCTTCTCTCCTCGATTTAATCTATACAGACACTTCACTGTGGATTTTATTCATCCACTCACATTTCTAACTACCTATCATTATTTTACTATTTCCCTATCACATCAACATTAATCATTACCTTATGTTTACATTCAAATGATCAAAATAATTAATTCTTCCTGCAATTTGTTTCAAGTAGAGAAGGAAAATCAGATGAAAGCATATCTAATTGCACCCTGAATACTTTATGGAAGTACAGAGTATAGACTGCAAAAGACAGTCTGAAAAAACGAACTTTCTGCAGAACATGGTTTAAACTCTAAATCACTAGTACTTATTAAAGGTCCAAATGGTCATTACAGAAATAGTAGCCACTTTTAGGGGGCGCTTGTTTATGGAATAATTTGTTCAAAATGAGTTATTTTGGTTAACCATAGTTAATTTTTAAAAAGGTTGTATGGTTAGTTGTTAGTGGAATTTTAAGAATATATTAAAATAATATTTAAAATAAAATGATTAAAATTGATTTGATGTAAAAGTAGGAGATAAATGATTGAAAATGATTGGAAATGATAGGTAGTTAAAATTATGAGTGGATGAATAGTGAATTAAAGTTTATGTGATGTGTAAGAATGATTGGTTTGTATAATTTAATTATATGAATAATATTAAAGATAGTGGAGTTGGGTTAAAGTTGAGTTAGATTTTGAGTATGAATTGAATGATAATGAAATAATTTGTAAACAAGCATGCCCTTAGTATCTATGGCAAAGTATTGTCTATAGAACAATTAGTCTAGCAAACTCAATTCACCAAAAAACCTCAACATATCATAAGAGGAGACAAAAACACAGGAAAGTTACAAGGAAGTGATCCCATCCCATTCACTTGAAACATAGAAGCTTATGAGGCCACAATTAAAGTAATCCAGCCTCAGGTCTGATCATATTGATAGATGCAGCCAGCAGATACCTCTTTTTATCCAAATTAGCATCTCAAAAGAGAATGTTTTCCCAGCATGGGTGCCTCTGAAGGAAAGGCAACGGGACATTGCTAACATAGGAGTTCTTCAGGTGCATATTGTGATATGGCCAATGTGGTATATGCCACAGATCATGAGTGCGAATTCAGATTATACTAAAAACTTTTTTCATCTGGTCGGGGTAAAGGCATTCAATTATGGTTTACAGATGCAATATATTATCATAATTTAGACAGATTCTCTAAGGAATTACTATCCAAAGACGTTAAAATATACTTTGGGTGAGCCAAAGTCCCCATAAACTCAATCACATCAAAAATATAATACTACTAATTCCAAAATTGTCAGTATTGATACCTCCATAACTGTTTCCATATGTCTGTTGTTCCCAAGGGCGGGTAGGGACAGGCCTCCCGAGTGTGTTCCTATTAACAGCCGTGCTTCTATCAGCAGTTGTAACAACTTCACCAGGTTGTGCTGTTCCGGAAGCTTCTACTACGTCGCTTGTGTTCCCAGCAGAGGGTGGCTTAAATGGTGCAGCTCCAGATGGAGAACCAGCTCTTTCCCATGGTTTTGGTGGAGGGCCACCACCTAACCAAGAATTTAGTCAAAATCGTACACAGCTGAGACATATGAGAGTAACACATTCACACGAAGTGTAATTTTCCATTCCTATGTCTAATGAAGCACAATTAAAAATGACAAATTTGCAACTGCCCCCATGGCAAAACTGTCTTGCAAGGCTTTCATAACCTAATACCTCAAGTTATGTGCATCATATTACTGCTACAACAAAGTCAAATCATAACCAGGCGATGAAAGTAGAAGTTATGTACATGTTAACCTATTTAGATGATGACAGTCTTAGAATTTTATGAGAAAAAAAAAAAATCCATCTTGATTTTAAAATATGTGTGCAATTTGATTAAAGGACTGGAATTAGCTCGGTAACTCCGTTACGCAGAAGATCAATCCATGAAAAAAATATAAGCAACAAATATATCTAGAAAATTCTTGTAGTGAAGGAGTTTTCAAATTCAGGAAATTGTCAAGAAAAGGAACAAAACCACAGTCACACACCAACCAATCACTGCAATTCCTCAGAATTGAATACATTAAACAAACCACAAACTAAACCCCCAAAACGCAGAAAATATTAAGAGAACATGCGTATAATTTATCAAATTTATCGGGAAACTGGCGAATCAGATCAAACAAACTACAAGCCAAACCCGAAGAAACGCAGAAATTTTGAAGAGAACATGCGTATAATTAACCAAATTCATCGGGAAACTGGCGACATATACCTGAAGCTGGAGCATTATTCTCCATAAATTAGACAGGGTTTTCAAACCCTAGGAGAGAGAGAGAAGAGAGAGAGAGAGAGAGATTGAATCAATAATGGTGAATGCTTATCCTGAATTTTGTATTTTCATTTTTCTTTCAAAGGCGCAAGAAAATTTTGGACCTGCAATGACGATTTTGTCCCCCATTTTGTACGCTAGTTTATGGGGCGCGTGGCCAAGCGCCGCCCGAGCCGTTTTTTTTTTTTATCAAACATCAAATATATTAGATAAGAACTCAAATGTACAAACACAGTACGAGCAGCCAAAAGGCTACAGCATATCTCGGTTAACATTGAATTACCGAAATAGGCGGGGAAGACTCAAGAAGAGCCGACCTGAAGGACCAAACATGGCCGCACTAAACATAACAACCACTAAGAACACTAAAAAGAAACAACACTTAAACATAGTTCACAAGCACATAAGCAGAAAATAAAGAAAGAAAAGACTGAATGTCATTTACTAGGATAGCACAATCTGGAGAGCATTGATCTTTTCCATCCAATATCTGATGTAAGTCTTTATCTGTCACTGTGAGCACAACTTTCTGCCAACCAAATGCAAGTCCTTCTTCCAACCAAGCTCGAATTTGCAGCAGTGATGTATCTCTTGGTTGATGTGTGGGAACCTGCAATGATTTTAGACAGCTGGCCACCTCTATATTGTCTGAAAAAGCTATGCCTGTAGCACAGAAAGCATCTGAAGAAGATTCATTAACACTGGTAGCTTGAGGAAGCTGCCCTATTCCTTGAGTCTCTCCAGAGCTTGTGAGTGCAGCAGAAGAAGCTACCCTGAGTTTTTGCTTAGAACTGGCAGCTGTGATATTTTGAAATTCTAGCCATTCTCTCCTAGCACCTTCAACAAGCTTTAGCTCAGAAGTAGGCTCTCTGTCAAACAAACAAGTGTTTCTCGTTTTCCACAACCACCACAATATGTAAACTGAAAGTGAGATCCTGTCCTTGTTGTGGGCTGAGTTTTTCAAGCAACAGAGATTGAACCACCAGTCAGTAAGAGTTGTGCTCTTGTTCATTAAGCAATCCCAAGATAGCCCAGCTAGTTTCCACACAACTTTGGCCCTACCACATTGGAACATGAGATGCTCTAGAGTCTCTTCTTCTTCATCACACCAGCAACAGTTGCCATTAATGTCCAATTTCTTCCTCCTCAAAGCACTGCTTGTACCAATCCAGTTGTGTAGACATCTCCAAAGGAAGTTTCTAAGCTTTGGCTTGATTTGGAGTTTCCAAATTTTATTCCAAATTTTCTTATCATTTGCTTTTCCTTTGCTGGACTCAGCTTGCTGTGACTGACTGAGCTTTGATTGCAAAATTGCTTGATAAGCTGCTTTCACTGAGAATAAACCTTTTTTATCTGTGTGCCAGATGAGTCTGTCTTTGTTGCCAAGATGACTAACATGTGTCTGTAGAATCAGAGTAGCATCCATGGGATTAAATGTTTGTAGTATAAGTTCAGTGTCCCATGCAAACTTCCCTGCAACCAAGAGGTCAGAAACTCTGTGAAGATTTAATCTGTCAGATTCAAAACAGCAGTCAGGCTTAAAACCATTGGGTTTGGGTAGCCATGGGGAGTCCCATATTTTTATAGACTGTCCATTGCCCACCTGGTACCTCATTCCCAGAGCTAGAGAGTTCCTACAATCTAACCATCCTTTCCATAACCATGAATCAGAATTTTTTTTCTTGACTTTCATAAAATCCTGATTGTGCCAATATTTACCCTTCAACACTCTGCTCATAAGACTATTAGGCATAGTTAGCATTCTCCACAATTGTTTAACAATAAGGGCTTCATTCATGATGCATAGGTCTTTAAAACCCATACCTCCTTCTTGTTTATCTTTAGCCAGATTACTCCAACTGGCCCAGTGGATCTTATTTTTACCTGAGTCATTTGTACCCCACCAGTGAGTGGAACAGGGTTTTATTGCTTCCAAAAGAAGCTCAGAAATGTGAAGTTTGGCTTGCTGGGGTGGCTAGTCTCAACAGCTACAAACTCTTCAAAAATCATCAAGGACTGTAATGCTAAATTAGAAATTCTGCATACCAAAGGTGGAGAAAGAGAGTGGGATGAATGGTTTACTTGCAAAGAAAGGATTCATAAAGCCTACAAAGATGAGGAATCTTTTTGGAAACAGAAGTCCAGAGTCAGGTGGTTAAAAGAGGGTGACAACAACACAAAATTTTTTCAAGCTTGTGTCACCCAAAGAAGAAGTGTTAACAGTCTTGAGCATCTAGTCAAGAGAACTGGAACACCTTGTGCAAATCAATCAGAGGCTGTGCAAGAAGTCTCACATTTCTTTGAGGACTTATTCAGATCTGAAAATCCGAGTTGGGATGAAAGTGTTTTGGCAGGAATTCCTCAAGCTATCACCAATGACATGAATCTGAACTTAACCAAAGCTGTGGATGAAATTGAAGTCAAAAATGCTCTGTGGAGTATGGATCCAGGCAAAGCCCCAGGTATTGATGGCTATTCACCTTCCTTTTTTCAATCTTGTTGGTCCATTATTAAGGATGATTTATGTCAGGCAGTTTCAAATTTTTTTCAATCTGGTTGTATTCCAAAAGCCACAAACCACACTGTCATAACCCTGATGGGATCTGTGAGGATCTCGTTATGTACAAATCACGAATTCAATAGCAAACGTAAACCTATGCGCAGCGGATCTAAAGGTTTGACGTAGAGAACTTACGGCTTAAAATTTATGTAGATCTGGTTGACCACGAACGGTTGACCGCAATTGATTGACCGCAACACGCGTCTTGGGTTGCACGAACAAGATCAGATCAAAACTGGATCAAACGGATGCAAACAGATCAAAACGAAATTTTGCTGCCAGACACCTTCCGGCGGCGCGTGAGGGCGCGTGCGGCGTCGGATTCCGGCGACGTCGGCGGCGATGGAAAGCTCTCGTCGAGACGGTCGTCTGGGTATACTGTACGTCTCAATCGGACTTCCGGTTAGTTCTGTAGGTCAAAATCAATTTCGTCTCGGTTTACCTACAGATCTTCTACTGTATTACTCAATACACCCTTCTTCAACTTGTACCAGTGGAGCAACAAGAAGAAGATAAAGCTCGAATGAGATCTAGAGAGAGAGGCGTGTTTCACGTGAGAATGAATTCTATTCTCTTCTCATGAGCTTAATGATGTATATATAGAGCTACAGTAGGGACCCTAAGGAGATTAGGAAAAGGGCTCCTTAATTAATTAGACTAACTGTGGGCCAAACCCACTCCTCTAATTAATTAAATAATATTAATGGGCCACCAACATTATATTATTGCACTCCCTTTCCCTAGCCCAAATTACATTTGAGACTCCAATAATAATTACTCGATTTACCTCCCCACGTTTAAGATATAATGTCCATTAATTAATTCGATTACTGACAATCAAGAATTAATTAATTTATTATTATTTCACCGAAGCTAGCGCTCGTTCATCACATTCTTATTATGCCGGAATTTAATCCACCTGCAGGGTTTAGCATAACAATCCTTCATGAACTCACTCCGGGGACATCATCAAACTAACGCACATGGTGACCGTAAATATCCTAACAGCACATCCTATATATAATAATATTACCCAAAACAGTAGGAATATTAATCCAGCGAACTGAACCTCACCCATGTGAATCAAAGTAATATATATTATATATATCTGCCTGTTTAATATCTTACGGGTTAAGAGAACGCAGTAATTAACCGAGGCCTAGTTCATTTACGACGATCAGTATAAAATGAACTTCTCCTCTCTGGGATCCTGTTCAATACATAAATGTACTAGTGCAACTAATCAGTCAAGACAAACTGTACAGTTGACACTACAACCGTTCGGATGGGGTGTTCATGTCCATCTAGGTTGTGAACAACTATTCTTGTTCGCAAGTGACTGATAGAGTGATCTTCGGTTCGCCCGATGACGACCCACCCTATCTAAGTGCAGAACAACAGAACGTAGAACTTGTTTAATCTAACATGATTCTCATTCATAAAGGGTAAATGTGTAATAACATGCAAAGCCAAGCTTTCAGTATATAACACTAACAATCTCCCACTTATACTTAAAGCTTTCGCTTTTACAGTATAGTCCTATCAATCCGTTATTCTAAAAGACCTATGTCGATCCTATTGCCATGCATCCTCTGATGCAATCTTAGCAACATCAACGTCTCCTCTACCAACGATATCCCGAATCAAATGGTATTTGCGCTCTATGTGTTTGCTTGCCCTGTGGGCTCGAGGTTCTTTTGAGTTCGCTACTGCTCCACTGTTATCACAGTACACGGTGATACCACGTGGCAAACTCGGTATAACCTCTAAGTCCACTAAGAAGTTCCTGAGCCAAACTGCCTCTTTCGCTGCCTCTGAGGCTGCTATGTACTCGGCTTCCATGGTGGAGTCTGCCACGCATTTCTGCTTAGCACTCCTCCATGAAATGGCTCCACTTCCCAAGGTAAACACATAACCTGAGGTTGACTTACTTTCATCCCTATCTGACTGGAAATCAGAATCACTGTAACCCAGAGGTAACAAGCTGTCTGCACGGTAAACTAACATGTACTCCTTAGTCCTTCTCAGGTACTTGAGTATATGCTTCACCGCAGACCAATGTTCCCGTCCTGGATTACTTTGATATCTAGCTACCATGCCAACGGCGTAGCTAATATCCGGCCTTGTGCATAGCATTGCATACATGAGACTTCCTACTGCCGAAGCATAAGGAACTGTCTTCATCTCCTCTATCTCCTTAGACGTCTTAGGAGACATCTCCTTAGATAAAGGTATTCCATGTCTAAAAGGTAACATACCTTTCTTGGAATCCTGCATGCTAAATCTGGCCAAGACAGTATCTATGTATGAAGACTGGGATAAGCACAACATTCTCTTCTTACGATCTCTAATGAGCCTAATACCAAGAATGTGTCCTGCTTCACCTAAGTCCTTCATATCAAACTGCT